CTTCGAATAAGTGCTAACAGCCGCCCATGGGCCCCTGCAACGGCTTACGGTTGTGTTACTATTACTATGTGGACAGAGTTAACTTATTTTCCTTCAATTATGTAAATAGTCGATCTTACATTTGCGTGGGATTGGTGTACTCAATCGTAGTTACTTTACCCTTAAATAGAAATTCATTTACTACATAATTAAGTTTTATATTCATTTAGATGCAATCGATTTTCGAATCGAATATTATACACGCTGGGTATTAGTGACTTCTTTGCGTAGTAGGAAAAACCTAATGCCTGATTAACTCTATTTCATCATAAATTTTGTCGTTCAACCTGCTCTATGAAAGAACTCGAAGCAGAATATATGTATTTTTGTATGCTGTATAAAAAGGGGGACACCCCTTATCATTTCTGGGTTTGAAAGATAGATAGTAGCCGATTCTCAGGCTTACTGAATATGCAAAAAAAATTCATAAGAATCGGTCGAGCCGTTTCGGAGGAGTATGGGAACGAACATTGTGACACGAGTACTTTATATATTAGATATGTGATATACATATATGAAACCGTATGTACTGAGTGAATGTGCTGAAATATCAGTCGCTTTGTCTGTCAACAATTTAACTAAATGCCGTATGACCATCGCACATATAGCTTAAAATGAATCCTCTGTTAGCTGGTGGTTTTAGTGATGTATAGGAAACATTACTGCCATTTGTACATGACCCCGAAACATTAGTGATAAAGTGTTTTATCGCTTCCTAGTTGCCAACCTAACCAAATTTACGTACTTAAGTTCGCTTGCTTGTAGAATAAAATCACTTAGAACTTATCGTTGTATTTTAATGCGACTTATTTGTATGATGGTAGTGATACATACATTTTTGTCTCACTTGAATCTTGTCCGTGTATTTGTAAAAAAAATTGAACTATATTTTATTAATTTGTATTGCATTGATATGATTTTAGATGTCATAACTTTACAATTACGTAACGAATTAAAACTAATCGCACCTAGTATAGAATATAAATTACATCATAAGAATTATATTAGTGTCATTCAGCATATCCAGGTGATAAATCTAATGTTACCTACATTAGATTATACAATACGCACAAAAGGCCCCAAATTATCAATAAATTGAACCCAGAAATCATGGCTCCAGATATCCGTATCCGGTATTCGACCTTGAACATTTCTCTTTATTGACACCAGCCTTCTATGTCTATTGTCTATATATGGTAAACGTCCAATTTTGAGTCTTAGGCGGTGAGCTCACGATATTTTCTTGTATATTTATATTTTCAGAGTCTAAACGTTCAACTTTAGGCTCTTTGCAACTAGCCACTAGTCTAACGCTGGTTTTAACAATATGTTTGGTTAACAAATTCGATTATTGAGACTCTCGTATATCATTACTTATCCTTGTAGCGCCGGCGCCGTTTATTTATTTCTATTGCTTCCGGAGTTTCCGTGTTACATAGTTATGGCTAAATACAATTGTGTATAATACGGAGCATTGTTGGACTGGTAGTTCAAGCGTGCAACCCTCATACCTATGGTCGTGCCTTCGAATCACGGCTGAGCACCAATGGAATCTTCTTTCCATGTGCGCATTTGCGCTATTTGCACTTTCTCTCAGACTCTCAAGCCATTTAGGCTTGTAGCGCCACTGGATTATTTTTATTATTACCTACGAATGACAGAAAAACATCGAGTTCCAATTCAATTGAAGCATATCTTGAATAACTCGAAGCATTAAATTTTGCACATTTAAACCAATTAAAGGTGAAAAATAATACGTGCAATAAAAATATTTTTAAATTTATGATATTAGCATAACTGTCGTAAACAATTCGTCTTTTATACACTTAAGCGTTTTATGTACGGGCCATAGTATTATTATTATTGTAAATAAAAAAAACAGTCAAGTCGTAGTGGTTAAAAGATGGCATCCGAATAATAGGTAGGTTTACATTTCTTTTACTACCGTTATTATAAAATAGTGTTTTGCTAATAAAAACTTAGTTAACATTTTTAGCATTATCTAGCACACACCCTTGACAAAACACCGACGCAGTTTAAGAAGGCCAAGTGAAATCGAAGATTGGAATTTTTCTAACAATCTCAGTCGATACGCTATAAATGTTTAGTTATTAAAGTAGTACTTCTAATCGTAAATCGCAATGTCGTACCTATACCGTAAAACAAAATCGATAGTAGCAATCATGAGATATTATTTTCGATAATAGAAATATATTTATTTAGATAATTCAGATTTAAATTATTAGTTTCGTACGTGTGATTTTTATACGAATTCTCTATAGGATTCCTATTTTTTTCGAAAACATTTACTTACCATTAATTAACTTTATGAGTATATTTAGACAAATTTTTCGTCATTGTGGACCTACAAATATTACATAAAATAAATTAACTTCAGATTTCGATAGATGCCCGTATGAGTGTACGACACATAGAACATTTATCCCATCGAAGAGGTTAAAGCGTCAGACAAATAATTTCTAAAAAAATTACACAATTAAAACTTACTTTAAGTTAAATAAAGATATTTTAAAAACTTCAAACATTAATTTTACTATTTTATCAAGCCGATGCTTGCGTCTTGCGCTTTGCGTGGTCTACCTTGACCGTGTGAGACACGCGAAAGGCAAATATAATTAAAACGAATATTTAAATTCGGAAATCGAAAAAAGACACGTTTGAGAGACACGAAAAAAGACATGGTGGTATATATAAAAATAAGTAAAATCTTTGGGATATAGAGCGCAGTATTGTACGAAGGTGTTGAACGCGTGTTGATCCACAATACCCAATGAATAGTCGTAAATATTATTTAGTTATAATATACTTAGAAGAAATAGATCTATTATACTCTATATTCTAATATAATAAACAAATGTTGAAAGACGTGGAGGTCGACTTCGTATTATATCATGACGAGCGAAGACATGACTTCTACTGCGCATGGCAAGTCTTAATAGATAAAATAGCTTTGCTCCTTGAACTTTTCACTCTCACTAATTCATACAAAATATCTAATATAATAACTTTGTTTAGTCTCGCTATATACTTTGAGGCATTTTTGAGGTACTACCTTTTCATTACTTAAAGCTATTTTATATTACAATTTGATAAAGGTCATATAAGTAGATGCCTCACTGCTCCCCAGTACTTGTAGCACCATACTGTAAAATGCTTGAATTGATTGATATATTTAAAGGGATACTCTTCTTTAATAAAATCCCAGAGGCTCTTTTATCTCTGCCTTTCAATAAATTTAAGAAATGTATTAAAGAAAAGCTGTGTAAAAAGGCTTACTATAAAGTCAACGATTATCTAGTTGATAAAAGGGCCTGGGACTAGTGCTAGACAGGCTACTTCTAATTAATTTGCGATATTTGTTTTAAATAAGTGTTGTTTGATGATTTGCTGTTTTAAAAGAGTACCGAGAGTTTTTTACGCCGGCTTTTTCTCTCGGCCTACATCCTCTGTCTTCTTTGCCGATGAGTAGGGATGCCTACAAATTCAAATTTAATGACGTGGAATAAGTGATACATGTATCTTATGTTCCATAATAAACATATTTTATTTTATTTTATTTATTTTTAGTAAATCGTATCAAGGAAAAACAATATAAAAGTTGATTATGAGGCACGGACATCGTAGTATTTTAATTTGTAACTTCATACGACAATAAAATTTATTTCTTCGAATGACGTTTGACACAGAGCTGCATTAATGGCTTATTTATTCGTGCCGTGTTTATTCCTCGAGTCGATCACGACACGGCTAATTACCTAACGACTAGTAAGTACTTGTTATCTTAAATTATCGGCGTTAGTCTATGATATATTTTTTGTGCAGATACATTGACAATTGGAATTTTTAACACTTCTAACCTCTGAAAGTGATTGTCATATTTGTCTAGTTCGCTATTTGTTTAAATTATAATATATAAAATATAACCAAACCAATGGTTATGTAAACACGTATTTCTAACTTGTCAAGTTAGACCGAAACCAAAGCGCAACGTACAATAGTTATTTTAATTATTATTAGGAAGAAGGCTTTTGTTTCAATAAAGTGAGGAATGCACTGAGGATGACAATGTTCACTCAAAATAACTCAAAAGGATGTCAATGTAAATTTAAAATAATAAAAGTATCAAAACTCACTTTACAACGAACCTAATTCATCCGATTTCGTTAACAACAAATCAAAATTCAAAATGTAATTCAAAATCGTTGACTTGTTTTAGGCTTTAATAAAAACTGAACTGTCAACTCTCACTTATTGTAATCAACATTACTGGAGCGAAATATATTTAAATACATAAATTTCTGTGATTGAACAATAAATAATGATAATGTATGCAAATAAGACAAGAGATAAACTAAAATAGTGAATAATGTTGTTCCTATTTTGAAATATGATTCGATAAACGAAAAAGGCTTTGTTATTGTTGTAATGAAAGTTCGTTGCTCTTATTTTAAGGAAATATTGACCTACTCCGGATATATAATATGTATATTAGAGTCCAATCTGCATCGTTTGTAAGTAATAAGACTTAATGAAATTATACATGTGAATTTATTTTTATAGTTACAAAAAAATATGGGTTTTAATCTAGTATTGATGTAGATGCTTAGATTTAAAGGCTTTTTGTTTTAATGGTAACAAAGATTAATTGTGTGTTCATTTATTTGTAAGTTCATTGTACGAGTATGTTCAGCCCTCTGAGCCCTGGTATTCAAGAAAAACATAAGTATTTTTAATTGACCTACTTATGATACTAGATAATGTAATAGTTTAACCCGAGTAATATAAAGATGAACAAATGATTTTAATAAAAATTTCAAAGAATAAGTTATATAAAATTATAGTTCATATTAAAATATCACTTAAACAAAGAGACAATAATTGTTCTTTTAATTTCACCATAATCACTATTTTCAACATCGTAGACATGTTTTACATCCTCACTATGTGTTAATAATATGAGACTCATTGAGACGCTTATTGAAAAACTTACCCTTATTAATTCCGAGACTGACGGTACAAGTTATGTTGTTGAACTGAATATCCACCGGTTCCCGGTTGGGAACGCGGGACAGTCCCCTAGGCTCCTGTGAAGGTGTCGGGCACTTTGAAGAATGTGAAGGAATTGATGGTGTACTTAACGAAGACCGTCCATCACCCTCCATATTTCCCGTCCCTTCAGACTTATACGACACACTTTGATTTTCCACAATTTGAACACCGGCTAGCATCATTATTACATAAATTGAACGCGCGTGTTACACTTATTACGTCGCGCGAACGAATGCGCTAGCGCCTCGACGATATCAGAAGCCTTTTGTCTGTTTGGTAAATTATAACGCGTTGTTTAAGCTGCACTTCTATTTTGTAAATAATTGGCATATTATGACAGATACGTACGTGGAACAATGGGCTTTATTGACGACTTGTAAACAATGTCTCTTTCAGACAAAGGAGATGCGACGACGCACTGAATGGGTGACATGCTTTCACAGTAATTATTACCTACTTATTTACGTGTATACGAATACTAATAATAGCACAGTACAATGTATTTGTGTCTAGATCATATAAGTACATATGTACGTAGTTTGGCTTGAGAAATGGTTGTTTGAGTTACCAACAATTAAATAGATTTAAATCCATACAATATTACAAAATTAATGACTGAGTGCAATTAACTAGTTATTAATACATAAATAATTGTGTTTACCAAGGTTTAAATAAATAATATGATTAATTGTGTGAGAAGATTTTTAGAAAAGCGACATCTTGTGGACTACTATGATACTAAGACGATTATTGTTATTATTAAGTAAAGAATAGATAGATAATTTTTACTACATTCTGTGATATTACGATAGATGGCTTAATTACTTGAAATATAAAAATCTATTAGCAATTTAATTAAGTATACAACACGTTGTTTTTTTTTCAATGTTTTGGAAGACAGGTATTGGCCTATATATACCTTCTCGAAGGTAAGATTAAGGCTTAAGTGGTAAGTCACACCTGCCTAACATAATCCTAATTGCTATTTTTTTAAACAGTGCCACATGCATGACCAACGCAGGAAACAAATTAATTAAACATAATTTAAAACGCCTGCCCAAAAATTATCACAACTGCATTTTACGAACTGCCAACAATTTAATTATTTTTCAATATATATATTCTATACATTCATCATAATAAAATATCTACCTCAGTTCTTTTTATAAACGGAAAATAGCCCTACATTAGTTCTTGCGCCTCGGAAGTCTGGTCACCCACAACACAGGGATATCCTAGTGTGGAGAGCGCCTGTAAAATAATGCAACAATGGAATAAGCAACTAAGTTTTATTTATTCAAACAATCTTTATTACGAAACGCCAATATAAGTCAGTGCACGAACTCTGCCTATATTTTCTACTATGAAATATATGTTCCTATAATCATGTAACCTTTAGACTGGTGGGAGAGTTAGGGTCTTACTCCCCTTAGGGTTCATGGTAACATTTAGTAGGCTTAGACTTACTATGACTCCGTATGTGAAAAAGTACTGGATTTTTACATACGAGAGTCATAGTCCGCACTGCATCTCGACTTTGACTTGACCCTCAGGCGCCAGGTAGCACCCGATCATGTCTACAAAACACAAATAATTTTGTTAAAGCTATTTATTTCATTAAGGCATAAGCTTTCGTAAGTTGATGAATCATATTAAATCATTCGATTTGGTAGGTAATTAAGGTATTTGAGAAGAGTCCTAGAATTAAAAAAAAACATTTAAGTGGTTGGTTAGATAATAATTCATAGAATATAGGTTATATAATAACTTTAATATGAAACTTCGATTTGATCTGGATCGTTACTTTATTATCTTACCTGACTTACTCGCCCTTTGTTATTTGTATGATGGCGCAGTGTATTTCTGTATCTACCGAAAGGATAATGTTGACGTAAAAATTATTTATATTGCCGATTGAAAAGTGCATATACTGCATGCTACAATTTTTATTGGAATTTTGGTATCCATTAAACCATAGATATTTTTTGTAAAACAAACCCGTTAAAATTGCCACTCTTCTGTTGCTTAAAGGGCATTTACATTCGCATTCTACCGGATTGAGTATTTTTAGTTTCGTTGCAAAAACCAGATTTCGTAAATATATTCCACAGTGTTGATCATATATTTTTTGATTTGTTATTGATTTTTTATTTTATTGAGATTATCTGAACTACTTAGTGTTAAGACGTTCGATGACAAGTAGCTAGGAACATAAATTTGCACGATTAATGATTTATTTACCTCCTCAAGTCTTTGTATCATAAAAATAATACTCGACTTCCTCGACGCCCGCGACCCCACATCTCTACGCAACACCAAGGGATCTACTCGGAAAGGGATTAGTCGTCGACGTTTCGAACCGCTCTTTGTTGAATACGGTCAAGTTGAAAGAGGCTGCTACTACAAGTATTCCGATGCTGGATGTGGTTTAAGGAATAGTGTCATCGATAACAGGAGAAGCGACAAAGGGTGTTTTTTTAGCGGAAAACGCGAAAACTTGTGTCTTCTTGGGGTTTTATTAAGTCAACTCCAGTCCGAGACTCGGTACCGGTTCAGTACCAGACAAACTTATGTCTGAAGTTGAAACTCTGCAACGTCCTATGAAATACCAGCACAGCCAGTGTAAAGAGTATCCCCAGTTCTGTCGTCCACATAGCAATGAATGTTGCTAAGTTGCAACATATAATTTATATGCAGAAGGAACAGGGTCGAGGGTAGGACACAGCCTTGTGGGACCCAGTCATCAGAGGTTTAACGTTGGAACATGCTCCGTCGATGACGACCTTGATGCTCCGATCAGCGAGAAAGCTGGAGATCCAGTCGCATAATTTCTCGATGAGCCCATAGGCTTTTTTGTAGGACTATTTAAGATAAACATTTCCATAATACATTACATACATATGTGTAACTATAGCGATTTTGGCAGCGCACGCCAGAATAGCTCGCAGATGGTAGATTTTTTCCTACTTACTTGATATTTTGGACAAATCACATCACTCATTCACACAACAATATCTTTATAAATTGTAACCTACGTGTTATTCTAATGAATAAGCTAAATTATCAAAGTTTTAGTAAAGTTTGATTATATTCCATTCAGTAGTTTTTACGTGAAAGAGTAACAAACATCCATCTATACTTTCAAACTTTTGCGTTTATAATATTAGTAGGCTAAAAAAGGTTTAGGTTAATTCCTTCTATTATTTATCGAATAAGTGTTTTGTTGCTGTAATGGTAGAAAATAGGGTTAAAATAGAAAAATAATTAAAATTTATTTTGCTATGAAGTATAAGACGAGGAATAGGCTAATGAATGATTTAGGTACTTTAATAAATCTTTATAATAAAAGCACATCAGATAAAATATAAAAGATTTTGTTCAGAACGATTATAAATTATGGACGCTTTAATCCACGATGAATTATAAAAAATGATTCCGGTATCAAAGTAATCACAGAATTACTAAAATATTTGAATTACAAATAAGCTGCCTAAAATTAACAAAAAGTAGCTTTATATTGCTTATATATTGGTATTTGATTAGTGTAATAATTTAAGATAATGATCTGAGGATTTTCTGAGTCTTAACCCAGATTCTTTGGAAAAGTTTATTTTCTTTTATATCGACGGTAATATGTTAAACCGAATAGAAATATCGATCACGACTACAATGTTAGGCTTTAGTATCGCGCGATACCAAAGCCAAGGATACCATCAGCGATACGGATATTCAGAGAACTATTTCGTTGCAAGACATCGGTTTTAGAAATTTCAGCGAACCGGCGTAACTATAATTTACCTTAATTAAGCGAAATGAAAAGTCAAATGTAGAGCAAGTGTATTATGAAATTTGTTCTTTTTTCGAAATTGCGCTACGAAAAGGTGGGAGCTTGTAGTTTATTGTTTATCAGAATGCCAAATCATAAAATGACTGCTTCACGACTAATTTCAGAGCGACCGCCGATGCGAAAACCGCTGTGTGAGTTCGAAAAGTGAGTTACAGAATCGCAGGGCAGTATCTTGTGCAACATCGTTAGGAGTTCAAAATGCACCCATAAAAAGAGCCATGAAGTCTCAAGTAAAGTTAGTAAATAAATAATAAGGAAAGCAAGTGAAACTAAAAGGTAAGCTGATGACAATAGCCCATTACACAGCAAGGGCCAAAAAGAAAACCTGACAGACCGAACAAAAGAAGTCTGACGAATAAACAGAATATACCATACCAAATGTATCTCTTTTATTTTAAAGCGAAAAATTTAATTCAGAATGAATGTTATTATGTTACGTTCTGTGTTTCTTTATATTATGACGATAAAAACTTGAGCGTCATTTGTTATTTCAATATTAAAATCCAAATAAAATGAAATGTTAACGGATAAGCACAACAATTATTATAATTAAACCTTATTTTTTAATTACTTCGAAATAAAATACACACGACGAGTTGTGTTGGAATTTCAGGTTTTGTTTGTCATCAACAAAGCGCTATAGCCCATCGGGGCCTTGGCCTTTCCTTCCAGCCCTGCGATTCTGTAACTCACTTTTCGAACTCACACAGCGGTTTTCGCATCGGCGGTCGCTCTGAAATTAGTCGTGAAGCAGTCATTTTATGATTTGGCATTCTGATAAACAATAAACTACAAGCTCCCACCTTTTCAGTATCTTGTGCAACATCGTTAGGAGTTCAAAATGCACCCATAAAAAGAGCCATGAAGTCTCAAGTAAAGTTAGTAAATAAATAATAAGGAAAGCAAGTGAAACTAAAAGGTAAGCTGATGACAATAGCCCATTACACAGCAAGGGCCAAAAAGAAAACCTGACAGACCGAACAAAAGAAGTCTGACGAATAAACAGAATATACCATACCAAATGTATCTCTTTTATTTTAAAGCGAAAAATTTAATTCAGAATGAATGTTATTATGTTACGTTCTGTGTTTCTTTATATTATGACGATAAAAACTTGAGCGTCATTTGTTATTTCAATATTAAAATCCAAATAAAATGAAATGTTAACGGATAAGCACAACAATTATTATAATTAAACCTTATTTTTTAATTACTTCGAAATAAAATACACACGACGAGTTGTGTTGGAATTTCAGGTTTTGTTTGTCATCAACAAAGCGCTATAGCCCATCGGGGCCTTGGCCTTTCCATCCAGTTCCATTTTGTAGTCAATAT